TATGTTGATAACACATTCGTGACAATGGAACCTATGCATCCTATCTACTTGGACTATTCAGTGATACACATGGAAATACTGAGTTTACTGTGGCACATAAGGGTAATGGGAAGTTGCATTTTCTTGACTTTGCCGTGCAGTGCTTGAGAGATCCGTTCAGTGAAAGTCTGCGTGGAATAAACCATTTATAAGTCTCACTAGTTTTTGTTCGGTGAACTATAAACTAGCATATGTCAAAACCGTGTTTTGCACAGTGAAGATTATGCTCCATTGAAAAATTAGAAAAAATAGTGGATTTTGAGATATAACGGTTATTCACAGGAATTCATTAATAAGTAAGGAAGATCTGAAGATATAACTGCAAGACATCACCCCTAAATGACATTCGTTATTCATTTTGTCATCATCACTGTTCATATGAGGACACAGTTTATGAAATGTAAGAGTAGATCCAATTTTGAAGTAGATATTTGTCATTAGCAAAATAAACTCGTTACTTCCAACTGTACAAATGAATGGAAAGATAAAAACATTTAATCTTCTGTTTATGACCGTTTTATGCTACTCATGGTAAAAACCCTTGCGGAAAACTATATATATATATATATACTTTTATCTCAGAATGTGTTTTCACATTAAAGTGTTATATGAGCTGGGTTTTAGCTTAACTCTTACACAAGTCCTTCCTCCGGTGATGGCTGTTTCCAGCATATTACTGAGAATTTTGCCATCTAATATTCAACTGCAGGCAATACGCAATACTGAATGTGTTTTTATGCATATATGTCTGCAAACTGTATTCACGCAACTAAAATAGTGATGAATTAAATTGTTTTACAACGTAAATTTACCTAACTTGTAGGGATTTGTTTTGTTTCAAGTTAGATTTTGGACTGACTTCAGGTAGAGAACAATTGAAAACCAGGAATTAATGCACAGCTGTTTCTTCCTAGTTCAGGACTTCATTGGTTCGCATCCATGACTCCAAAAGAGACTGAACGCAGACTGTTTAGATTACGAAGCGAGGTCGCTGACCATTCAGTCACTAAGACGGAATCCCAAGGCCTGTGAATTCCAACTTCTGTTAATTCGTGGTTTTACCTAATTTTATCAGTTATTAAGTTAGAAATTGTTTTCAGTGGTACCTAAAACTACGTGACACAATAGTAATAAACATAAATTACCAATCTATAAATTTATTATATTGTTATTGTTTCCTTTAGTTCCTAGAGGAACATATAACACGTCTCCAATGCGTTCAGTTCTCCGCCAACGTTTTCACCTGGCTCCACGGCTCCCTCACATGATTTCATCTCCTCTTCACACCACCTCCTCCATGTCACCCTCGAACTGACGATCAGCTTGCCGCTTCCCACTCGGGTTCCACTCGAGCGGTGGCCAGGCATGTGATGTCACTTTATGGTTTGTTTTCTCAGAGTATGGCCAATCCAATCCACCTCCATTTCTTCCTGCATATTCGTTGCACAACTGATTCCTCGTTGGTTCGCTCATTGCCAGAGATCCTTGTTGCTCATCGTTTCTGGCTGGCCATCTGAACTTGAGTAGTATTGAGCAAAGACGGCTGTTGATGAAGGTCTGTAGTTTGTTTGTAGTTTGCCCTTCGTGACGCCACCCCAAGTCTCTGATATGTATAGTGAATAGCACTGACTTCACATTGGGTTGAAAATCCGAATCTTATTTTCATTTTCATACTGAGTGCTGTTGATCTCCACACCGACCTGAGAGTAATGAAAGCTTGCCTTGCATTCCCGATCCTCGCTTAGACATCCTCATCAGTTCCGTACGCCTGTAATTGAAACGATGCTTCCGAAGTAGGTAGGTAGGTGGGTAGGTAAAGGAGGTTGCTTCTTTCAGATTTCTCCCATTTATGCCGATTGTTGTCTGTTGTTGTTGCTGTTGATGTTGTCCGGGAATCTTCATCACCTCTGTTTTCTCTCTGTTCACCTTAAGTCTCATCTTTGATGCTTCCTCTGCCAGATTTACTCTAAATTTACTACATGTAATTCAAGACAAGTATATTTCGGAGTGAAATGTGATACATGCGACAGTAAAATAATTTTAACATAAGTAACTAAGATTTCAAGAATGAAATATGCCTTCTCTGGGTGCTCGTGTGGTGATTTTTGGAACGATCTTGAGGTTGCATTACGCAAAAACTAAGGATTGTTATTAGACTTATTACTTATGAACATTTTCAGCTGTAGGAATGAGATTGAAATATGCATAGATATAATAGATGTTTATGAGACTGAATATTAATTCTCATCTTAAGATCTTCATTATTTAAATGCTTATAACATTTGTCTTTATAATTCTTTTAAATTTGTGACTAACCAGGTATTCGACTATTAGTTTCTTATATGTCGAAAAGTCTCACAAAATAACTTTTGTCTTAATATGAATCTCTAGTACTAATAAAAATAAAGTATTTCTGCTATTATCCTCCTTCTTTCTTAGCCCTCATTGAGACAGTAATGTAGATCTTTCCAGGTAGTAAGCTAATTTGTCCATACAAGGTTTTATTTCATTAGTCTACTGAATATCCTTAACACCACTGGCTGAATTTCATCTATAGCCTGAAGCTTTACATCTACTCTAATTTTTACCTTTTCGACAAGTGTTCAATGCATTTACTGATAGCCATTAGAGTAAGCTGACATCAATTTCATTTGTTTGCTATTTTCTAATGAACAGTAGAGTACAACTAATTACATTTCAGTATGTTATCATGAGCTGACATAGGTTAGAAATCTATTGGAAAACCTAGGAGTACTGACCACCTGTTTCGTCCTGGTTCAGGAATCTTGATCATTATGCCTCCGTCAGGGTTCGGGCTCAAAACCTTTCGGCTTGCAGAGAGAACTCGTAGACCACTAAGCCACTGGGACCCTATCCAATGATCCATTAATTCCAACTTCTGCCAATTCACGATATATTATGACCACTAACCAATGTAATTGGCGAGTATATTGCCTCACATCCGACCTGCCTTATGCCACTGGTCACAAATTCCCACTAAAATCCAGGTAACTACATACCTGAATAGAGTCAGTCGCTAGCGAAATGATCCTCTAGCCGATTTCTACTCTTGATGAAATGCAGTAATTAATCAAACCCCTGCAAACCAACACTTGGACATCTATATTTCACTTTTGTATTGTATAAATGTGATAAAATAAATCTGATGCACCGTATCTAATAAGTTCATCCAACATTTCACTCAACAATGAAATAGTATAGGCTGAATGAACTTTGAAGTACATTTTATTGCACGTAATCTTATGATAGCTTGAAACTCTACCACGCTGTCTATGTTCTATTCTTACACTTATAAATACACTGTACCATTTTCATTTTCTAATGTCGCACAGTATCACGAAAATGGCGCTTTTTTATCTTCTCCTGGTGAATAATAATAGTTTGATTTACTTCAATGACTGGTAGGGACTGATGGCAACTGCGCATCAAAGAAAGCAGGTAACCACATCATTTCGATAATTGATAATAATTTCAAAACATGGATAATAGGATTCCAAACCGTGATGACACCTGATTCTCATGAATCCTGACTGCAGACAGGTTAAACTAGACATCAATTCATGGACATACATTTCTGTTTGTAGTTTGTCTGCTAAGTATGTTATCTCTCTCCAAGCGCTAGGACTTTACTGTTAAAAAAGAGAAAAAAATATTACTATCTTAGATGGTTTCTGTGATTTTATTTATTAATTTCCATGCAACAAGCCTGAAGCCACACATATTGTGGAATGGCTGATGAAACGAACCAGCTTCATATGCCAACGTACGTACAGCTGGAATCGACCCGGCGACCAGGTGTCTGAAAATCATGTTGAATTAAATTTCGATACTTTCTATCTCCAAGTCAGAATTCATGTCAAAAGACATCCTAGGCATTTTAGCAACTATCTGTTTGAATGAGTTGTTAAGTGACAGAAATTTTGATGAGAATATGTTTCTTGAAAGTATCAACAAATGTCAATCCTAAAGCCAAAAGATTCTGCCAACAAAATTCATATTATTATTATAACCGAACACAGTTTATTAAAATACCATAATTTAGCGACAAATGGCAGGTTAGTTTCTTAGTCAGTACAATTATGCTGCAAGACAAGGGATGTTAACTAACTAATTCAAAATAAGAAGCACAGATTCTTGATTTTACCGTTAAACGTCATTTAGTGATTGAAATGTTTGAATTAGCATTTAAAAAGTGCAACAACAAATAGATTTATTTATAATGTTTATATTAACACATTAATAATACCATTATTATATTCATCACACATGTACTGGCATTATTGTTATTCTTCCAGTTTTCCTTATGAAAGCCAAAATCTGAAGAATGGTCGAAGGAACAGAAGGTTGGCAAATTAAGCTGCAAATACCCACCATTATATGACCAGTTGTATTTATCAAAACATAATTGATAATATACTTTCTGCGATCATCAGTCGAATGCTTGCACTTTATATTTACTCAGATTAGACATCTAGTAAGCATCCGGGTTCATAGACTAGGCCACTGATCCTATGATCTAATTCTCAGTGGGGTACTGTTTTGATTTTAGTTACTATTAGTGAAGGCTAACTAAGGTTGTCCGGCGTAACCAAGCCTTATTGTCCATCAATTAAACAGATCCTTAATCAATGTTTAGGTGACATCTATAGGTGAAATTTTAAGAAGCGAAACTGAAAACATCCATAATGCTTTTTCATTTCAACTTAATAAGTATGCATGTGGTGTCTTTGGGTCACTTTACGATGAATTGCAAAAATGAAATAATAAGGAAACAGGCACTTAGAAATGCAAAAACTAGATATCTTTTTCGTTTTATTTTAACCATCCTAAGAAATCTGTGACCTATGGTGCGTAAAATCTTTAAAAAATTCAGCTTTCATTTCCAGTATGCCGTTATATAACCATCAGGACACAGCGGAAATTACTCCATAAAATATGCTTTACTTACCTGTACAGAGAATATTTTCCATTTGGAATGAAGGAGCTGGCGCTAACGGCTGTCTTGACGTTTGTCCTAGTAGGGCTTCTAAACATTGATAGTTTGCATAGTCATCACCAGAAACTGGTAAATCCTGAAACTTATTCAGTTGTGTAATAAGCTGTTGTCTTGCCTGTTGCACTTTACTGTTTTGTTCAGAAAGTGGAATGCCTTCGGGAACTGAAACCATGGATTGCTGAGGAGCTAATATAGGCTGAGACACTTTGGGTTCGTTGGCAGTTGTATCAGATGTACAGTACCTACGTAGAGAATGCATTGTAGGTGTCATCAGTGATGCAGGATTTATTATCCGCATTGCTGATGATTCGTCTCCAGATGAATATGAAGAACGTAGTTGTGGTGGTTGTTTATGACTGCTAGTAGCACTACCACTACTAAGCAGTAAAGGGACCTGCCTTTGGATATTCGAAGGGATATTGCTTGAAGATTTTGCTTAGCACTGCATAGCAGCCATAGCAGCAGCCGCGTCGGCAGCTACTACCGCTGCTGCAGTCGCTTGTTGTTGTTGCTGTCTGATCTGTTGCTGTTGTGCTTGAAAGTGGATTTCTTTCGCATTATTAATGGCAAGTTCAGAATCAGACCAACGATTTGGTGCAATGAATTTTTGTTGGTTCATTGATGAGTCAATGGATGGAATATTAGACATGAAAGATGGTTGTGATTCCACCCGTGACTTATTCACAGAGGCTGCTGCTAACAAAGCTGAAATTAGTTGTTGGTAATTCGCTTGCTGTTGGTTTTGAATCTGTTGTGTTTGCTGTTGCTGTTGGCTTATTTGACCTGTTTGTTGTTGAAAATAAGGATTCACAAGAGTATTAGGTAAGTTTCTGGATTTACTATCGGTCAGTTGATCCAGATTAGAGATTAAACCCTCCGTGAAAGTATCACGTAGGTGACTTTGTTGCTGATTTTGTTGTTGCTGTTGTTGTTTTTGACGTTGCCAATTGGACAACAACTGCCCGGCACGAGTATTACAAGTCCCAAGTCCTTGCTGTACTGTTGTACGATTAGTTGGCATATACACATAGTCACGTGCTGAGCGCAACTGAGATAACATTTTGCTTTGATCACATACGCCCCCTGTTAAATCTGCACTGTATCCTGAAACTGCTCTACTTGGTCCAGGTAAATTCGTCTTATTTGTGCCTTCTTCTGGAACAAAATGTACGCGAGGATTTACATTTTTACTTTCATTCAAATTGTATCTATTAGACTGTTTATCACAAGTATAGTAATCTTGATAAACAGATTTATTTGGATTATCGGTCATGTTTCTATTCGATTCTCCAATGAAGTTAGTGTAATCACAAAAATTGGTATACTTTAAATTATCAAATTGAAAGCTCCACTTGGGTGTCAAGTTCAAATTTCTAACTGATCCAGATAAACTTGATACAAGTGAAAGTGTTGACTCGAAACTTGTTTCAAATGCTGAGTCAACTGAACTGAAATTTGTTTTTTTGAGCTTTTTCAAGATCTGATGCTTATCAAAATATTTATTCTTGCTGTAATTGTTTCTTTTTTGAAGAGGAGAAAAATGAGGGCAGTCTGGCTTAGAATTATCATATGGATAATTTCCAAAGCAGACTACATGTTTTCTTGGTGCAGTGCATTCTTGATAAAACTGAAAATGAGAATTTGAAGGGGAAACAATAGTGTTCGCAAATTTTATTAATTGTGATTCCTCTTTATTGTTGTTATGTGCTAACAGTTGTGAATCGATGTTTGAATGACCCTGATTATGATCAGTATTTGTGGTATACAGTTCACTAGAAATTCCACTGTCTACAGATTCTTCAGCCATCTGATGCTCCAAATGGAGCTTAGTGTTTTTGACTAACTTACCTTTGGTATACTTTGTTATTTGAGCAAGAGAGAGACTATCAATGTAAATATTGATTCTGACAGTTCTGTAATGATGATAATTACTGTCTGTAATACTATTATGCAGCTGAAGATGATGAATAATTTTGGAAATGCACTTAAAAATTAGTGATTTGAAAAGTATTGTCGTATTATCAAGGGATTTGCAATTGTTGTATACTAAATCTTTAACGTGGCTTCTGTTTGGTGGTTGCTGTTCAAACAACAAAGTTGCTGGTAATATGTATATGTGTTCAAAACCTGGTAATCGGTGCTATGAATAAAATGTCTGTATCGATGACAAAAATCAACGTAGAAATAATAAAGTGAAAAGATGGAAGGAGATAGAGACACAATACAGTAACAACAACGACACTGAATATACACCAGTTTATGCATCCTACTAAATGAGTGAAGTTCTTTCTGTTGATTAAAAGTTTTTTCGGTCCATGTTTAATCCATTTACCAGTGTTAATACAGGGAAAGACTATACTGTGCAAACCTGACCAACATTTAGCCATTAAATTTCAGGTGATCTTCAAAAAAAGATTGTTTTATCGTTTGCTTGGTTATTTATATTACTGTTGTCATGGTTATCTGTGATAAGTAGGAAGTATCATTCATATCTGTAGATGCGATGATGTAAAGAATGGAATTTAATATCTCTAAATCTGTATGATTTGTAATTAACCAAGGATATTTGGGAAAATGAATTTTGTAATTCCTCCGATTTTAGAATCAAACTACTCAACATCTATACAGGCGGTTTGGGGAACTGTGCCATTTAGCGTAGATGAAACCCGATTCATAAAAGGATGTGAAGGGCTACACGATTTAAATAAATATCTGTAATTGCAGTGTGAAAGAAGTCATCCTCTATTTCAAAGTTGTGACACTTAGTTTTCATAGACAGGCAATGCACGTGTTATTAAATAATTCCATTATTTTTTCTGCATGCTGTTCTTTATTGTCCAAGTATATACAACGAGAATAGTCGTAGTAGCTAATGCGATTCGTATCAGTTGTAGGTAAATAATAACAATAACCCTTCACCAATTGACACTGTGGGCAAGCGAGTACGTAGTTTGCAATACCGCCTCTCATGTTTGGCCAGTACGCACTTTGGCTCACTAGGTCGTATGTTCGTGCAACTCCTGTATGGGCTAGTTGGTGGCATTCTTGAATGACCCCACGACGAAGGCTTTTTGGTATCACTGTTACCCAGCTACCATCACTGTCTTTCCAAATTAGGACGCCGGCAGCGTTTAGTTTGAGTCTATGTTTTTGCTGCAGTAGCATCTTTAACTCTATTCTCTGCTGCCATTTCAATTTCTTTCCCTTCACGTATCATCTGAATGACTGTCTTAAGAGTAGGATACGACTTCTGGTGGCGAACAAGTTGTGAGGGATCTTGCTCCAAAGCGTTTACTGCATACGCTACCTCTGGTAGTTCAGTCTCATTATCTGATCTCGACAAATAGTCAGCTATTACATTTTCTTTTCCTGGAATATGTCCAATCGTGAAGTCATACTCTTGTAGGCGTAACATCCATTGTGATAACTTCCCTCGTGGATCCCGTGCTGTTTACAGCCACTGAAGAGGTTTGTGGTCGGTCTCAATGTGGAATCGGCGGCCGATCAGATATGGTCTCCATTTTTCTAGTGCCCATACAATGGCTAAACACTCCTTTTCCACCGTAGAATACTTCTGTTCTGCAAGTGTCAACACACGGCTAGCGTATTCAACAACCCCATCCGTTTGTCTTAAAACAGCACCTATACCATAATCACTGGCGTCTGTCGAAACTGTGAACTGCTTCCCCGGCGCTGGCAGTTTCAACGTCATCTGTTGACCATATAACAGCTCTTTAATTCGCTCAAACGTTTGCTGTGCCTCTTCCGTCCACATGAATTTCGCGTCACTCAGCAACGTATATTGCGGTCTTGCTATCTCATTGAAATTTTTGACAAATCGGCTGTAGAATGCCGCTCTTCCCAAAAACTGTCTCAGCTTTCGCTTTGAATTTGGCACTTCGCTGGCTTTGACTGTCAGGATTTTCTCCGGCAATGGCCGTATTTCACCATTTCCCACTTTGTAACCCAGGAGGACAACCGTGTTTTTAGCTATTTGGGACTTGTTCTTATTAATCCGCAGTCCAAAGTCATCAATTCTCTTTAAGATAGCTTCGATGTGGTCTATATGGTCCCTTTCCGTCTCACTATACACCACCAAGTCATCTCCATATACTTCTACGTTCTTCAGACCCTTCAGTAATAAGGTCATTAATCTTCTGAATGTAAATGGGGCACCTACCAATCCAAATGGCATTCGTTTAAACTGGTATTGTTTCTGCCCAACTGTGAACGCTGTTTTACTTCGATCACTTTCTGCTATTGGGATCTGCCAGTAACCCGATCGTAGGTCGAACACGGTGAATAACTTGGCTTTATGAAGGCGATCAAGGGTTTCTGTTACGGTGGGCATTGCACACTGTTTTACTTCGGTGAGGCTATTCAGCTGTCTGAAATCGACACAAAATCTATATTTCCCGTTAGCTTTCTTCACCAAAAGGATTGGCGAACTGTACGGGCTGTCGGCTTCTTCGATTATTCCGTCGTTTAACGTTTCTCTGACTTGTCGGTTAACTTCTTCTTCGAGGTGAACCGGAACTCGTCGCGATGAAAAGACTGTCTTCCCCGTATCCTTCAGTGGAATGTTATGCTTTACCTTATCACAATAACCGTATGGGTCTCCATCACTAGTGAATAAACCGGCATATTTACTCATCAACGTGGTTAGACGTGGTGCATCTTGCGGAACAATGGTTGTGGTTTCCACCTCAGCGAATTCACTATTCTCATGTATCGCGAATTGCCCGTGTTTTGTGACCACTTTTCTATTCTTCATATCGATTACAGCTCCTACTTCTCTGAGAAAGTCTGCTCCCAAAATCGTTCTTCTTATATCTGAAGTTACAATAAACGGATATCGTATTTTTCCTGCTCCAATCTCTACTACGCAGTCTGAAACGCCAAGAATGTGCAACGGATGTCCTCCTACCGTCTGAACTGCTAATGTGCACGGCCTTATTTCCTTACACTGTTCTCTATCTATCAACGAAACTGCCGCCCCTGTGTCGATCAAACAAACTATTTCTTTTTGGTTCACCCGTAATCTCCCGTACACTGAACCTCTTTCGACCAACCCGACCACCTGCAAACGCGAGCGAGAAAAAGAAGGAAGACTGTACCGTTTAAAGTTTTTTTGCCTTCGTTTCGGGCAGTTTCTCTGCCAGTGACCGGTTCCTCCGCAAGCAAAGCATCTGTTGTTTGTTCATTTCTTTATCTACATAGCCGCCACCTGTTGTTTCAACTCTTCAATCTGGTCTTCGATCTTCTTGGAATCTTGGCACTCCGTCATCACTGGAGCAACATCCGAAGTCATTATCTGCCTTGTCACCTTGGCCATTTCATAGACATCCATTGGTTGAGCTGCGTTAACCAGCTGCAACTGATGGGTGATATCTGTCGGGACGCATTCGAGGAACTGAGATGCAAGCAACTGCTCCCGTGAATCTTCTTCTAGGGTGGGTAACGCGCGTCGCAGGTGATTCGTCAGCGTTACTGCGAGAACCAACGGATCCCCACCCTGGCCAAGTCTCAGCGTCCGAAACTTCTGCAGCGCCTCTTGTCTGTCCGCAGGGCTGTTGAACTCGCACACGAGCCTCTCGACGACCTTGTCCCACGCCGCTTCACCTTCCAGCTCCCGAGCGTTGTCGTACGCAGCCTTCGCGCGGCCCCTCAGCAGCGTTCCCAAGATAACCAGCTTCGCCTTCTGCTCCTGCACTCCAACCAGCTCCGCAACAGCTTCGAAATCCCTGAGGAACGTACGCACATCTCCCTCCTCGAACACCTGCGGCCACGGCACCTTCATCTCCGGCAGAGGCAGCGACACCAAATGTAAAGAAGACAAGACTGAGGAGGCTGAAAGGAATGTTTATTTGGTGAAACGTATGGTACATAGCTAAATTTGGTATACCATATTCTCAACTGGCCATTTGCACATCATTTACCACATCCTTGACGAATTGGTCGAATATCGTCTCGTTCGATAGCTTCTTGGATTCTGCATTATATGGCAACATTCTTCTCATGGTTCTCTTCTTTGATTGCTCTTTCAAGTGTGCCAAACATATTGTTACTTCGTTTCTGATATACTACTTATATCGGATTATAAGTAGCACTCACCACACTAGATATAAGTATATAAGTAAAACTTACAGACAGAATATTTTTGTTAAGTTATACAAATCTGTTTTATTCTCCGCTTTCATTATCCTACCATTTTTAAACAGACACTTTATAATACATTCTTCTATCGCTTTTTCCTCTTTAAGCTGGTTCGTCTTCGTTCATTCAAGTTTATAATGAAGAATAAAACGAAGTTGATGAATTATGAACAAGTGCAGAAAGAATATTTTCACTTGTCAATGGAAGACACCAATCAATGTTTTAACTTGATAATTCAGCAGTGCTGGGAAATTTTGTTATTGTAAGTTTAAATTAAACTTTGTTTTACCTTTCATTCGATAGAAATTTACTTTGAGAAGAGGAAATCACCACTAGCACGAATTCCAATATTTTTATTTATGTGGAGAAGAAATTTTCAAAATGGATAATTAAGCGTATGAGGCACTGTATATAACTTTATTATTATTTCAAGTTAGATCATGAAGTGACATCGTTTAGAGCACCATTGAAAGCCACAAAGTACTGAACAGCTGTATCGTTCTAGTTTGGGACTCTTCAACAGAACGCACTCACAACCCCATTCGGGGTACAACCCAGGACCTTCAACTTATAAGTTGAGCCTGTTGATCAATAAGCCATTGAGATGGAATCCATTGGCTCATAAACTCCTCCACAAATTCGCCATATATATAACACCACCGACAGCCAATGTTGTTGGCGAGTATTTGTCTTCACACCAGACTTGGTAGAACCCGCTGAGCAAGACATCTCACTAGATCTCCAGGCAACTCCATTCTGTTCCTAGTGAACTTCAGATTAATTCCAATTTCTGGTTTGCAAGGATTTGATTTTTGTCTATCCCCAGTGGCGTCATAGGTGAGTACTACCGAAAAGTACCAGGGTAGGATGACACAACTACCCGGTAATCCCTCGTGCTGTAGCTGATGTTGTTTGGTGATCTAATTTGAAATCAATCAAACCACTGAAAACCGACACTTGAAACTTTATTATTTATTCCTTGTGTTCCAAGGAGGACATAAAGCTTCAGTGGCATGTCTTCATTGTATCTGGTTATATTATTTAAGTTTACTGTGCTTTTTTACACGATAACAAAGTAAACGTTTTCAGAGCTTTATTTTAAGACTCATTCGGCCATTTCCTTCAACATATCGGGCTCCAGTGGCTGAATGGTCTACGAACTTGCCTAGTAACCAGAAGCTCCTGGATTTGAATCCCGGTGGGTGTGTACTGATGAGGAGTCCCAAACTAGGGCGAAACAGCTGCCGAGTACTACCAGGTTTCCAGATGGTTCTCCAACTGACGTCACCTCGTTATCAATCGTATATCTACTTCTGTTTTGTACCGAAGAAATATGCCCGAAATTGAACTGCCTCAATTTCTATTCCCGCTAAATTTATGAAAAAGGAATCAATGTGTGTGAACTAACTTAAAAACCATAATTTCATATTTATAAAATACCTCATTTATTTTAAGTGTTTGTTTAAGATAAACGCAGTTTGACAATGCTTATGAGGTCAGATAGGACGTGTATTTCACCAGCGATTCTGAGCTTAAATCATCCATAAAATTTTTAAATTTAAATTTTATTATTGCTTAACTCCGGACAATATCCTTGATACAAGTATGGAATTTTCAGCGTGTGGTATCGTTAGCCCAAATTTGGCAGGCCGACCATTGATATCGGGTGTGCGTTGGCCAGGGATCGAGCCCCGGACCATGTGCATAGTCGGCGAGCGTCCTAACCGCTGTGTCACTGAGGTACATCAGGAGAACTTTGAAAACAGTTAACATTGTCCGCTGTAGATCAGTGAATAATCGGCAGTATCTGTAACTTCAAAATCTTAAAAATTATCGTTCACATGTGTGTTCTTAACTTTATGCCTAAATTATAACTGACTAACACAATCATCAAAATCTAACCCATGAATGACACAATATACTACTGGTTGATTGATTGAGATGAGTAGTTGTATACCGCCCAGTTCGATCTGGCTAGGAGGAAGTGGTCTTGGTAGATGCAACTTGTATACAACTACTCATCTCAATCAATCAACCAGTAGTATATAATGCCATGCATTTATGCTTACCTTGTTGAATACCACTCACGGCATCAAACAGATGAAATATTTTGATCTGAATAATTTAAGTTTCCAAAGGAAGCTGTGTGAATTGCTAAATTGATCTAATCTGTGACTAAATTCATTGAAAAAATAATATACGTAAGGTGATTTCTAATGTTTTAAATGTATATTTCTGAAATTTTGATTTCCACAGGGCGCAAACATATTTTACGGAATTATCAATGTCTCGGGACAGATTTCTTATAGATTTTCGAAACACTTTCCCAAGGTAGGCTTTTCTAATGAATATCTACAAATGTGATAATTATTGTTAATACATGTCATAACTCAAAGAGGAAATGGGCAATGCTCCACTTGTTAAAAATTGAGAACATTCATGAGTGTGACTCACCTAAATTAGTTGGCAATTACAAATGGTTTACTGTTTTCATCTCACGTAATTATTTATCTTACTTTATAGATGCTCACAAATTCTTCTAACTCACTTATAAGGACATGGTCGGAACCTGTCGTATACAATTCAGGTAATTTAAAAGATGAGAAGTATATTTTTTCTGACATTAAAATTAACATTGAATTTCTAAATTTCGTGAATTCAAAGAGCTGGTACACAATTGTTGTAGTGCTATTTTATTTGTGTTCTTATAATTTGTCTGCTTTTTTGAATCAGTACACCAGAGTGCTAAGTTCTATGTATGTCAGACGATTCGAGAGCTGTATTTGGGTACGCTTTTAAGTTTGTATACGAAAAACAACCTAAAACACTGTTGTTTTTACAATTATTTGAAGACAAAGTCAAGAGCTAATTATAGTGGGCAGTATTCCGCATAATTCTTTTTTATTTTTGACTTAATGAAACAGTAAGCAAAAGTTATTTAACAAAATTACAAATCTGCCGTTTTTTGAATACGATGAACCCACCGAAAAAATTACTTCAAACTAAAAGTTTCATAAACGCACTCCAGATAAGCTAGATGTAGGAAACAAAACTGATGAACATATTATTCTATCGGATAAAGCTAGTCAAAATATATCATAACCGATGTAAATCAGTCAATGCATTATGTCTTATCAAATTATTTTCTCAGTGTTGTCGTCGAGTAGCTTTCAGGAGTAACAGAGCTTTTTTGAACTAAATCAGCACAGAGTTTTATACTACAGAAAAAATCGTGCTGTTTATCACAGGCATATATTGCTAACGTATAAAATGAGTTGGAAGCATATATAAAAAAAACCGGAAGGACTTCTCTAAGTAGCAATTACTGTGCGCAATGTAGCAAGAAAAATTCTACTTATCAGCAAAGATATTTTTGAAACTAAAATGTGTGTAATTCACCATTCTTAGTTTCACTAAGAGTAATCCATCTCTGTTGTAGTACACATACTGACGAAATGCAGATTTCCATTATGGGTAAATTTTGTTTTGATAAAGTCTCACAGTGTTATACAGTAATGTTTACTGATGACGTTTCGAGCACAATTTATTGCTCATGAGTAGTGGAACAATTAGTGATAAAGTTATGTAAAGTGGTTCTGCTAACCAGTTGCATTACTCAGGACCACTTTACATAACTTTATCACTAATTGTTCCACTACTCATATCACTCTGATAAATAGAATATAACTTAGTTGCTCTAATATTAGTTATTTTTATACTTCATAACTCTTAGGGGAAACCTAATTTCTTAGTCTTTTGTAGTAACCCACTTGTTCACATGTATGATGATAATACTGCTAACAATGTCCTCTGGTATTATTGTGCCATGTGACCTAATGGGAAGCACTTGTCATGAAAGCTGTTACGAATTATAATATTGATTACACTCTTATCATATATAGTTCGATTTACTTTACGGCTCCCTGTAAGACTAACTACGCTTCTTCAGTATACACACACTGCAGTATTGTTAACCAAATGTTAAAATTCTGTTGTTTCTGTGTTAATATCGTTTTATAGAATGTGTAGACTGGTTACTTTGCAATGTCAATTGCTTACTATATAAAAGACTGTCATGGTAATTTAGTACAATAAGTCCTGCCAACCGACCTTACCTTCAGTTCATACTACCTACATTGAACTATAACTATAGTGTTCTGATGAATCTTGCTCCACTATTCACAAAACCTCTTCTTTTTACTCTTTAAGGGTTTAACATCTTATAAACTAATCTGTTCATTAGGACGCATGCACACATATATAATATGTTCCTAAATCTATGCGTGGAGATCTATTGGAAGCACTCACTAAGAAAGCTAGGCAAATGGAATGTGAGGTACGAACGTGTCTGGCACCAAGCAATATATTTGCTGTAGCCATAACAATCAGAGCCTAACATCATAAAAGGAGGGAGGGTGGCTCATGCTGATCAGTAGTTATGGTGGTGGACACTAAGGTGAATCGCCCCATTCTGCAGGAACAGCAATATACAATTTGATGGCTCGAGATTTCTATGAGGGCTTGAATCTTTATCTTGAATAAGATAATAATGATCGCCTGAACAGATCATGCTTCTACCTTTAAACATATACCATTCGGTCAGCCTATTGCTGAGATGCGACCACGTGGGCTCTGCACAGATTTATGGGGCATCTTATAAATTGACATGCTTTCCTTTGTCGTATCTTCGAATATCACTTAACAATGTCTCATCTCATTCATTTTCTAATAACGTCTTCACTTGCTCCTAATTATATTCCACTAAACCTAACATTTTATAGCTCTTTATGAATTTGATTCGACTTATTCTATTCCTATTCTCTATAGGGTACGGTTGTGCACCACATACACAAAAAGGTATGAAATTAAAACAACCGGCTTGTGGATAATTGTATTAAAACCAAAAGTGGACATCATGATAGTAAGACCTATATGGGTAGCATTATACATTGCAAATGAACTTTGTCAGCCTAGGGATTATATTCTCCCATTGTATTTCCTTTATGAATGCATCTGTTAATGATACATTGCATTTACCTATTTCATTACACTTTAATGATTCACCTTAGCATCTTTACTTTTCTAAAACAGCTTACTATCCCTTGTAAACGTTGTACTTACCTCAATATTGGTTGGTTATCGTATGCCTACAACTACGGGTTGAAAACGAAACGAAGTCGATTTTCTCGCGCAACCTGGAGAACTGCTGTTCAATTCAATAATGATACGACATGGGTCAGACAAAGAGTATATTTATGGATATATCAAATATCTAGCTGTTCAAACATTATTAACTTGTAGACAATCTACTATTTGTCATTATATCATACTTGATCATTGCGTACTTACAAGAAAAAACGTTCACCTTACTTCTCATACTAAGTACTGGAGATTCCGCCTAGTACTCACTTTTACTTGCTCTCTATAAAATGCTTTCTACTGTATTCGCAAATGACTATTAGACTTCTGTCACATGAAACGGTAAAACATAAGGCGTATGCAGTTTAGAAGTTATGGTATATTTGCATTTATTGACACAAAATTTATGTACATCTTCCATTATTATACAAGAAAGTTCTCAAAGTAATTCAGAGTTGCTCGCAGTGCACTAATAGTATATTCATTATTATAGTTATCCTGCATAACTGCGAAGCTTCTGTTCAATTACCTGCGAAGTTGCAGTATCTCCATGCAGGGTTTCTTCACTGAACCTTCACACGGCACACGACTTGGCAGCAACGGATCCTGCCAAAACCATCTGCGACACAGGCGAATTACTTTGTCAACTAAAAATATTAATTTAAATATTAGTAAGAGTTTGATTTACCTGTAAACTGAGGAATTTGAGTGTGACATAGCAGCATATGCCGGCAAGGTATTCTTTGTGCCCTAAATATTCTGTAGGTACAAGTAGAATTGGTATAATCCACTTGGTGCAGGTATATGCCGTCATTTATGATAGGCATATCATCAGTATGCAAGTCTATGTTCATCCGACGATTACGGCCATAGTCCTTGGCAATTAACTTAGCGGCATAAGGAGTGAAGTTTCCTAATATCGGCATAACTGGTTCCGGTGCGTTGTACTTATGAATCCGACAACTTTCGACGATGACTTCAACACTACGACGCTTCTCTGTGCGTACACACCATTTATACGTCTTGTACATGCATACGTGTAGGGGATCTCTTCTGTGGAGATATCGTTTTAGATGACTGTGAGAGCTTTCAACTCTATTGTTGGTACTATTAAACAGCAACAGAGTATTCGGCATATATGCCGCAGCCCACGTCTCCTTCTTAGGCACCCAGTATTGCCTGACATAATTCCACACCCCCCGATCAACCATCCTAATGACACTAAGGTAGTGATGAAATCTAAACGGTTAGAAATCAATGCATTTACCTTTCAGGTGTCGCAGCTTTAACAAGACGATATAAAAACCAGCGTACAAAAGGATTTCGAGTCTAAATGCATCAAGTATTAATTACATTCACCTCACCTTCCTGCTGAAAGCCCGGCATACATGCAATGCACAGATGACGATTTTCGGCTGAATTTGACCATTACGCACGGCGGATATCTCACAGTTGGCCGAATCCATTACGAAAGTTTCTGTAATGGACGTATCCTGCATTATTCTTTGGAATTGTTCCAATATCCAAGCTACATCACATGACCTCTCTCGTCTCGTCCATGCCAAAAAAAACAGGTCTGCCATGACCAATATTGTCTGTTACCACCAAGTGAAACAGAGAATATCTGATTAAGATTTGTCAACCGTTTCACGTATAACCTACCCATCCTTATTGGTATTGTATGTTGAGTCAATACACACCACCTCTCCATATTTCCGATATAACTGAACCTGTGATTCCAGGGCGAAGCAAATTCTGCTAGTTATCCCTGTATTCGAATCCATGTATTCAACCACCTGACCGCTTTGCCTTATTATGCGCATAACATCTGATCTCAAAGGCATGGCTTCCAAAATAACTTTAAACTACTTCAATTACCTGGTCTCACGTCCTTACGTAAATTATACACATCTGTGCTCGTCAAAATTTTATTAAAATTCTCTTCAGCATATTCCAAAACATCAGCAACCTCAGATGTAGTCTTCACAACTGGTGCAATATTCTCCTTTTCATCCTCAGACAGGCGTCTAAAATATGGATCACCTATCATAAGACTTTTTTCACGTCTGTGATTGTGAACTGTTTTCGCGGAAGAAATGATAAACTCGTCCTCCTTGTAGCGTATACGAAAGCCAGATTGGCAACCGGTGTATTTTGCACTGCAGAAATAAATAATAGAATTCTTACGGTTTGACGCGTAAACCTGAACCTCTAGTTTTTCGCTTCATGCCATATGTACAACGAAAGACTACTAATTTATACTTCAAGTCATGAGATTCATAGTCCCGTATGCAATTTTTGATTAAATAATGTGTATGAGTTGCCTAGGAATACTCTGTCATACATATATACATATATTACTGATTCCAGCTGACTTAGAGCGTCTTCTACTTGAACCCAACTGGTATACCGGTGACTAAACATAATTCCGTCAAAAGTTTTTTGATATCCACTGATATAGGAAGGGCAGGTTGGTCGCCATTCTCTTCAAGTGCCAATGCGTTCATTCGGTACCACTGTAAATGAAAACAGAAGCTTTTCAATAAAATTCATGATGTTGTGAAAACCCCAATGGGTTCAAACGGAGCCTAGAGAGACACATTAACATGTCCACCCTAGCTTGTCTGAAGGACCACAAATGTTGGTAAAATGGTAAGTAAAAGCCGGTCCAGTCTTCAGCTCAGTCAGTTACATATAACTCGACTCTACTACTTTCGCAGCGAACGTTTAACTAATTTACTGATTTTCCTTTCTATATAGTCTTCAGTAAGTTATGTTAATATAAGTACTTCTAGAAACAATTACACTAGCAACCACATCTTTTAATATTTTACATATGTATATACAGTTAATAATACAATGCTATTTGCTGTGTCTGAATGACTTTACTCAGCCAATAACCACCTTTTCTCAAACACCTTCCTAAAACGTATAATCTTTATAATATTTCGCAGTATTTTTAACATTATATAAGTTGAAGGGTTACTTTGCAATGTCTAATGCGCACCGTATGAAAATCGGTCATGAAAATTTAGCATAACTAGCTCTGTTAAACGGCTGTTTTCTTCAGGATCATTATATATAATTTTATCACTAATTGTTCCACTACTCATATCACTCTGATAAATAGAATATAACTTAGTTGCTCTAATATTAGCTATTTTTATACTTCATAACTCTTAAGGGAAACCTAATTTCTTAGTCTTTTGTAGTAACCCACTTGTTCACAAGTATGATGATAATACTGCTAACAATGTCCTATGGTATTATTGTGCAATGTGACCTAATAGGAAGCACTTGTCGTGAAAGCTGCTACGAATTATAATATTGATTACACTCTTATCATATACACTTTGATTTACTTTAAGGCTCCGTGTAAGACTAACTACCCTTCCTCAGGATACACACACTGCGGTATTGTTAACTAAATGTAAACCCAGGAAACCCACACACTCAAACAGATATTTAGACTTCCAGTCATCCCATCCTATGTCAGTAAAAATAGGATTGGTGAAATGTTTGAATGACAGAGCACAAAAATTAAGTAGTACCAAAGAAAATCTAAAACAAGAACTGATACATATAAAAGAAGCCTTGAAACTTAATAATTACCCGGATAAATTAGTCAGGAAATATGTAAGGAAATGTAAAAATAAAATAAATAATGATAATAGCGATAGTGATAATAATAATGATAATGATAATGGTGATAATAATAATATTAATGACGACACCAACAATAGGGAATCTAAATCATCAGTAGTAATTCCATACAAGGAAGGAACCTCAGAAGCTTTACGCAGAATTCTCAACAAGGCAGGAATAAAAACGGCATTCAAACCCACAAACTCAATTAGAAACAAGCTTTGTCGGCTAAAGAATCCTATAGAGCCTTTAAAACAAAACAATTTAGTTTATCTAATACCCTGCTGGAATGATTGTCAGGTCAAATACATAGGTCAAACTGGTAGAACAGGGGCAGTCAGACTAGCTGAACATAAAAACTTAGCAAAATCTAGATTGGTTGACCCGAATAAAATAAGAAATCTAGGGAATAGTTCAGCTATAGCACTACATGCAGTCACACACAACCATACAATAGGCTGGATGGGATAGGATGACAGTTTTAAAATCTTATGTCACAGGGTATAGGGAGAGATTGATAACAGAAGGTTTGTTTATCGAATCAACTGAGAGAGAATACGTGTAATAGGAATGATTCAACACCTGTCCATCCGTGTATCTGGAAAATTTCACTACCCCCACGACGACAAATAGGAGAGAACAAAGAAAGCTATAAAACTCAAGTGTCAAAGTCGTGTGATCACAATTGATATGATTATGAACAATAAATTTTGTTCAAAACGTCATCCAGTAAATAATACTGATTCACTGTGTGATATACCTAATAAACAAACTAATATGGAATTACTTACTACCACAGTGCCCAAGTTTTACACATATATTAAAATATTTATGATATACTATCATTATTATTTTTGCTTGTTATTTGAAATAAACAAGCAGCCCAACAGAAATTCTTCTTGAAGTGTAGCTTAAAATAAATTATCTATTAATCTGGTACACGCCCACAAAGATATTAAACATGCAGAAACTGTAGTTGCTTAGTTGTGCAGTTAAAAATGATCTCAATTCTAAATGCACAGGTGTACTTAAAGTTTTGTTATTATTAGTTTAGAAAAGCTCAGGTATACTCAGTACAGTGCTTCATACCTTCAAGCAGGAAAAACGATAGTCGACTTCATTTAAACTGATTAACTGTCTATTAATTACTTCCTTTTTCATCTCATTCAACTCTTGAGAAATGCAAAGCTAATCTGATAAATTGTTTCATTTAATTTAGTGAATATCTTATACGTCAAGTGTTTTCCTTTATCTGTTCTACTCGAGATAAACTTTGTCCTAGAAAAATGCAGAGTGAATGAACTTAATCAAATAGCACTATATCTACATTACCTGACTGAATAGAATTTCTTGCCTCATTACTTCTGTATCGCTACAGTAAAGTAGACATTAAATTTGGAAATACCACTGAAATAAA